ATTATATTATATTGACGAGCAGTAACATACAGTTTTTCCTTTCTGTTTTTGTTCATGGTATTGCACTGATAGTATGCAATGAGAACGATCATGTTGTCAATAATACATTAAGATAATTATTCAGATATTATCTTTGCTGTCATTAGTATAGTGTGAGGAAATAAGTAAAGACTATTGCACTATAAGAAAATGAATTGTCCTAGAAAGAAACTATTGCGCAAGTGCGTGTCATGGCATAGTGTTTAGCAATAGTCTTTATTCATTGGCGCCGACCCAAATGTATCGTAAAAAAGAAATTTTATTAAAGATCAATATCTGTTAATTTCAAACTTTTGAATACGATGATTGAATTGATCGGCAATGTATATATTACCATTACTATCGAGTTTTACTCCCCATGGGTATGCCAACTGGTTTGAATTATCCCCTTCTGTACCACTCCCAGCTATGGTTACACCAGAAGTTGGATCAGAAGAAAATTTCTGAATGCGATGCCTCTCGAAATCACTAATGTATATATTGTCATGACAATCTACTGTAACAGATACCGGAGAGTTTAACCCACTGGAAGCAACTGTAATTCCATTTAAAGAATGTCGAGACCATTTCTGTACACGATTATTTCCTTTATCTGCTACGTAAATATTGTAGTTATCATCTACAAATATACCATGAGGGCGACTTAGTCGGTTGGCATCCGATCCTTTGATTCCATTTCCAGCGACTATTTTATTTATTTCATATCTCGGTGAAAACCATTTTGTTATTTGATGATTGTCGTAATCGGATACATACAAATTAGAATCTTTGTCTAAATAAATGCCATATGATTGGATTCCCTGGACAATTGTTGATCCATTTGAAGCTCCTTTAGTCCATAACTGAATACGACGATTCCATGAATCAGCTATATATAGATTCTCATTATAATCAACATATATACTCGATGGATACCATAATTGGTTTGCACTTGATCCTTCCCGATTTCCGCCTGCAACTGTTTGTGCTTCTTTTGCA